ATATTTTCCAAATTGGCAACTTCACATTTCAATTTATTTTTTCTTATTGAATTCCCTAGTTCGGGTTTGAGCCCATTTACAGGAAGACAGGACAAGACTCTATCCTTCTGCTGTTGAGTTTACACCAGAATACTGCTTCAAAGTTTTCTGAAGTCTATTTTCTATCTTTTGTTTGGTTTACAATTTTGAATCTATTCAATCTTCTCTTTAAGCAAAAGCTTCTGAAATGGGCTTATGTAATGCATTCTATATTTTTATATTTTAAATTTTCACAGTTGCGTTATATAACTTTTTTAATCCTTCTACTTTTAAGCATTTTTCCACATCTGAGGGAGATTTCAATGAATTTAGCTGTCTGCTACAGATCTGCAGCTCAGGACAAGAAGAGTTTTGTTCAATACTCGAACAAAGTTCTAAATTCTGTAACCACTTTTTGCCCTTCTCCCTAAAGTTTAGGAAAATTCTTGATTATGGCCTTTAGCTTAGCTCTAGACCGGGGTTTAAATGAAGTTCTATAGATTTGCCTTCTTGTCTGGTAATTTTACAATGTGATTTTATGTACACTAAGACACTATCGGTTACAAATGCTGGGGTAACAGAATACAGAGAGCGAGAAGAGCTCAGGGCAGCTGCTTGGAGCTCACACTGTTGTTGAGACTGAGGCACCATGCTGCAGGTCGAAGGGCAGCTGGAGTTAGGGGCCCAGCGAGGGCACCTGTGATCCAAGCATCCTGGGATAGGTCTTCAAGGTGATGTCAGTGGACGCTCCAGAACTGTCCAAGGACGATACAAACACCACACAGCATCTGAAATAAAAAAGTCAAAGCCAAATTTACTGCTCGTTACAGTAAGAGAAAGCTGTACTTGTCAGGCACCTTCTCCATGAGCAAAGGAGAATGCTGATCATCTATGGGGACTGGGGACAGTGTGGAGTTCAGGGCCCGGAGGACATTCAGAGCAGCTGCGAGCTGACAGCGTTCATAAAGTGGGCTTACTTGGTGAGACTGTTGTTGGTTGATTGGTGCTCAGAGGTGTGTTTATTGGGGCGGGTCCTACCAACTGGCTGACTTTCAGAAGTGAGGGCTGACGCCAGTTGGTTGGTTTGCAAGTGTATATCCACAGAGCTGCATTGTCCTTGATCAACTGAAGAGATGTAAACAAGTCACAAGGCTCCTGTTACCATAGCTACAGAAGAATCAGTCTTTTCCTAAGTTTGTGGAAACGCTTTTATTGTTCTCCTCGTGGAGCCCTCCCTTAATGTATAAGACCATTTCTAGGTTGAAAATCCTGTTTCATCCATCCATCTCCCCTTCTGACAATAGCCTGGTCTAACCTGCGAATCACCTGAAACCACTTTTCCAAAGTAAGCGTCTTCATCCTTTAATTTCTGTACCCACAACTGATGGTAATCTATCGATTATCTGTGATATTAACAGGGAGGTGGAGCAGAATAGTTAGAGGAAATAAAAGAACATGCCAGATTTATGATTAACTAGGAAATAGTTATTTAGCACAAATAAGAATGAGAAGTCTAACACACAGGTACATGTTCCCCAAAGAACTCCTTTATGGGGAGAGAGAATGCTAACTGGTCACTTAGAAAATGTTTATATGTGACACTTAAATGGTGAGGAGTGTGCTGTAAATGATCCAGCATTACAAAGATTATTAGGAAAAGTCTAATTTGGCTTGGATGGTCACTTTTTTTTGCCCTACTACCTCTCTTCCTGTGAATCTATTAATAAGCATGTTGCATAATTGACGGAGTGGTTAATAGAGTGTTTTCTCCAGACTCGATTAAGTGCTTTATTGCCGTCATTGATTAGTGGACAGCAAAGAGCTAAGGAGTCTATAAGCCAGCCACAGGGGAAGCAGCCACATCTACCTTTTAAAGACATCAGCACCTGGAAACTCGCCAAAAACAAGACCCCGTCTCAACTGGAGCCACTGTTGCCCCAGAGGAACCACTTGAAATCAGTGACGCTCTTCCTTCTGTCAAGCGAGTTGGTGTTGAATGCTGCACCAAACGACGGCCCAGTAGAATGATCAACATTTCACATCAAGATCCTGGAAGAATGTGCTTTTCTGAAAAACACGGAGTTCCACGACTAACCTATAAGAAATTCCTGACTCAAAGCAAACCGTAAAAAGAAAGTATTCAGAAAAAATGTATTTAATTTGAATTCAAGGTAGAATCCTAAGGGGTGGAAGAAGACCTGGTGGAGCATTAAAAGAATTGTTAAAAAAATGAATTTAGAATCTTTGCTGGAAAGGGGCCCCATGAATGTGGGCTCCCCAACTGCCACACTAAGAGCTCAGTGAATATAACGCCTGTGCGCGCACATTTAGCTGAAACACGCTCCTGACACGAGAGAAATCATCCTCAGGATCTATAAATAAAACTGGGAACTCTTTAAGAGTACGCTTTACTCAACGTTCGAACTATCGTTCAGCAGAGAGTTCTTTCAGATGCAGTGGATGCGTGCTATATTTGGGTATAGCTCATCCTTCATAAGAAGCCAGGTAAACTACACTGGAAGAATTCAACATTTTATAGTACAACTGCCAAGTGCCCATACAAGCAGGCCTTCTCTCAGGGCACTAAACATTCCTTTACAGGGACCACGATTCCCTGTATATAAAGGGAGCCCTTATAATGCTTGGGCTCCCTCTCCTAAGACCAATTTTTATAGAAATATTCAAATCCTACAGTTAAATGTGGGTCACACACCTGGATAACAAAACAACCATGGTGATCGTGTGTCTCTGAGATGAATGATGAGTTACTGTGCTCCATTCTGGTATGGCAACCCCTTTGGATATAGGTCAGGACTGGATCTGAGTGTACGGCAGAGTCCCAAAGAAGGCAGATATTCTCAGCATCAGTCATTAGGAAAGAAGATGGCTACCCAGAATGGAAACCTTGTAACTTTTCCCACTATGCAATAGAAAACTCCTACAAACAAATAGAATGTGCAGCATTGGTGGGGGAGGTATATCTCATCCTTTATAGAAGGCTGGCCTTACACTGGTAGTCCCATTGTGAGGCTCATTGTGTCTTGCAACTGGAATTTGAGTATATAAAGCACCTAGCATGGGCTTCTGGAATCCATCTGAAAAGGCTATTGACCACAAGGAGGGCAGACAAGGAGTGAGGATAGGAGAGATTGGCTGGTTCCCAAAGATAAGCATATCTCAAAAGCCAGAATATCTAGGTGTCTGTTGCTGTATTTATTTCTACTGTTATCCCAGTGACTTTGATAAAGTCTAGTTTCAATGCTTCACCTTTCCAGCTTTGCTGTAGAGAATTAAGGGGTGGTCGCAAGGGAGTCACAACCCCGAGGGGCCAGTGTTACCAGTGAAAAAGTGCTGAGAGGAAGGAGAATTTCTAGGAGATTTAAGAGTCAGGACCAAATTTTCCCTTCCATTGCCGTCTTTGGAAAATGGGAGAAAAAGCTTTTCCTGATGCCTTTTTGGGATTGAGTTTTATTAAGGAAATTGGTAGGTTTTCCTGTTTTCTTTATGCTGAAAAATGAAGCTAAATGTTGTGTTTGTATTTCTATAAATGAGTTCCCTGCAATGCATCCCCAGATGTGCACTCCTGAAATAAGAAAGGTAGCTGTGGCTCCATCTGGGGTAAGACTGGGGTACCGAGGGACAGGCTGGCCCTTCTCATTTTATGTATGTTTTTAAGGGTTGCAGTATTATGGACTATTTCTTTCCATGTTTATAATCTTCTTTTTAATTGTACAATACTTGGTGTTTCACTGTTTCTCAAATAAATGACAGGAAGGCTATCATACAAATTTGATAATTCTTACATCAACTAACATTCCCTTAATGGTAGTGTTCCTATTTACATTCAGTTACTCCGTATGATAGATAAGTCAATTCCTTTTGCCTCCAATTTATAGAAGTAGCCACGACCTGGTTAAGCGGGTTAGGTTAACAAGAGAGACCTTCTGACCTAGTCCATCGCCGGAAAGCTTGTGTTCTGCTTGAGAGCGAGCTGTGTGATTCTCCTTTTCCAAAGCACTGGGGTCACAGGAGGCTAGAGTTGGGAAGAATAATATTTAATGTCAAAGTAGGCTCACCCGCCAGCGAATGAGTGAATGACCCAGAAACTGTCCTGAATTTTGAGTGGATCCATTAATTTGCTAACTTAGTAAATACGTCCACTGTGATTTCTTCAGATTTAGGCTGCCTCATCATCAGACACTCCTCTGTTCACATCCCCAAAGATCTAAAAAAGGACTGGAATGGAGGGAAGAGCTTCCTTTCCCAGGAATTCCACTTCCTTAGAGAAGGGACCTGAAACTGGAGAGCCTGATTCTGTGGGAACCTGCCCCCCGGTCGACTTGGGAGCTCCCAAGTAAAGAGACCCTAAGAGTCTGGAGTCTCTGTTTTCCATAAATGTGGGGGAGGGGAAGAACACAGAATAAACCCAGAAAGAGATAAACATGTTGGTGAGTGAACTGTCCCAAACAGTAAAATATGTTCTGGAAGCACAGCAGTGGGAACCTTACACGAGAAGAAAAGTTCTAGAAAATTCTAACATTTTGGAGGGGATTCACATGAACATGGGAAGTTATAAAGATTTCGGAAAATCGAGTCCTAAGTATAAGGGGTTTGGTAAGGATTTAGCACACTTTCGATTGCTGGTGCCTCTTTGTCACTCAGCTGTATATACTGGGTGACCTGCTTATTTCTGTTGTTCCCTGTTGAACAGACAGCAATGGGGAACCCAGCTTCATCATGTGTATTATGGAGGCTCCCGTTTTCCTTCCATTTCTAAGATGTAAGCAGATGCCCAGCTCCGTCACCACGTTTTCATAGCCGAGGGCGAGCCCCACAGGCTGCCATGTTCTCCCACCCGACAAACGAGGACTTTCTCTGAAGCAGATGTGTGGGACCCAGGCGTCAGGGGTTAGGTTCAGCCCACTGTACCTGGCAGGCATAAAGAGGTGGCTCTTCATGAAGCTTCTGCTCTTCTTTTCCAGGTGAAGGCCTCTGATCAGCAGCCCGAGATGGTGTTCACCGTCCGTCATGCCACTGTCACCTTCCAGACCGAAGGGGACTCATGGAGGGAACAGAAGGAGCAGAAAGCTGCCCTAATGGTGGGCATCCTCATTGGGGTGTTTGTGCTCTGCTGGATCCCCTTCTTCACCACGGAGCTCATCAGCCCCCTCTTCTCCTGTGACATCCCCGCCATCTGGAAGAGCATTTTCCTCTGGCTAGGCTACTCCAACTCCTTCTTCAACCCCCTGATCTACACAGCTTTCAACAAGAACTACAACAGCGCCTTCAAGAACTTCTTTTCTAGGCAACACTGAGCATAAGGCCCGGGATAAGAAGGAGTTATTCCCATAACTCAGTGAAATTTCCAGTTTAATCTGTTCCCCGTCCCCACCCAGCAGCCACGTGGGAGAGACAAACCCTTAAAGCTATCCAGGGTCTTCTGCAGAACTAACCAGCCTCACTTCCTCCTCCTAGGCAGGAATGGGAGTCTCCATGGGCAGTTTTGGTGACCTCATTTATCTACCGTTCCTCACTCTACACCTAAAAGCCACGGACTTTGCCTACAAAGTGCTCTTTCCTCTCCAAAACCCACTCCAGCATGGTTATCGTCCTTGTCCCAGAGAAGTCAACAAGGCAGATGAGAGGGAGGAGATGACCAATATGGGCAGGTTGAGAATGGATAGGAAAGAACGAACAAGAAGTCATAATGGAACATCTGGGGCTGAGAAACCATCATTCCGGGTTTTCTAGAATAGTCCACATTCAAATATTTCATTCTATGGTCCTGGTAAGTACACCCTGATACTTATTGTGTAAGTCCCAATATTTGGCCACAAAATATTGTCTCCAAACATATTAAAGTACAAAACTAAGTTTGCAAAACCAGTAAATATTGGCTTTACGGTTTTATTTATGGCTAACATACACACACACACACACACACACACACAAAACTACGGAGGGGGCAAATGTTCCCATTGGCAAGTTTATTCTGAAATGCAACCCATCAGCTTGGAAAAAGGAACTAAAAGTCCCATCAAATGTCTCCTTCCCTTTTGAAGCAACTGTTCACAAACAATAGAAAAATCTGCTAGTTTCACGGAATCTGTCAAGCTTGCTTATTTGCTATGAGTTTCGTTCGTATGAAATTTATTCAAATGTTGCTGCACCAGGAACTTTGTCCTTGGATCCTGAGATGGGAGGAAAATAATTATCGTGAAGTTCTTGACTTCTTAAAGATAGTTTCATAACCAAGGACTATGAAGGCACATTCACCAAACACGTGCACTTTAAGGGGATCGTTGGCTAATTTGCTGATTGCTACTTTTGTACAGGTATGTGAACGCCTGCTATGAGGCCAACGCTCATGACTAATGAGAATGGCAGAAATACGGTAAACCGTGGCCTCAGTCCTCTGCAAGTTGACACCTTTATATAATTGGCGAGGCAAGACGGTTAAGTGATGGTGCAGCCTTTACATGATCATGTAACACCCAGGCCATCACACAAACTTTCAAAAGATCTTGGGTAATAAAACTGCCTGTGGTCGGCTATATCCCTGATTCTTTGAGTGCACAAATTAAAAAGTTATGCATTATAATAATCTTTGAATTATTATAATACATGTAATGTACCTGTATTATATTGTATATAATAAATTATATCAATTAAGATTTCAAACATAGGAGAATTGCATTCGAGTTCTTGGTTTGAAGTTTAGTCTCATATTTACTGCAAAGATGGTCTTCATTCAAAGCACGTGCACAGCTCGTGGTACTGGGACCACGGTGCTGAAGGCAGACGTCTCACCCAGGCACTGCAGCGAATTCATGGAGGAATTTATTTGGAAACGTCCTTAGATTTTTCTTCTTTCTGTGTATATCACTTGAAGTGCCAAACCCACAAATATTTTAAAATACAGACTGTTCACTTCCTCAAGTTACCTCCCATACTATTACTTGGAACCAAAGAGACCGCCCAGTGCAGCTGTATCTCGTGTTGTACCAAGGAAGGTGCTTCTAGAACCTCGTGAAGCACCTCTGGCAGAGAAGGAGACACTCGGACATGGGGATCTGGAGGTATGACATCAGAATCAAGGGTAAAGTTCTTAAACGTCCACTCTATTGGAAAGTCCATGTGCAAACTTTCGTTCTACTCCAAAATTTCAGTGTTTGTCTTATTATTAAAAGAAAAATTTATTTCCTCTAAACTTTTCAGTAAAGTGAAGTTTTTGGAAGATGTGCCACATTTGTCTAGCGTCTTCAAATGCTCCTTGACTCCCCCTGGATGCTGTACACCTTGTGGAGAAAGATGTTATTATAATTCTAATTTCAATCTCCTACTGAGGTTATTAGTAATATTTTCATAAGATGAATGAATCCCTTTACTCTCTTTATTCAATATGTATTTAGTGCTTCCCAGATGTCACTTAAAATATGCATCATATAAAATACACTCTACATATGCTACTTACAGCAAGAAACACTGTCTACAAGAAGGAAGAAGTGGCAATTAATGGATTATTTTGCTTCCACTTCAATACCTAAATTGTTTATGACTAGGTAAGAAATATTACAAGATCCAAATGTCGATTGAACTTGGGTGTCTAGTGTGCAATTCAAATGTCTGTGAAACGCTTTTGTTTACTTTTGTCTGCTAGCACTTTATCAGGTAAGCAATTAACATGAATCATAAACAGAAAGTAACTGCTCGAAGCATCAGCCCCTATTCCTCGTGCCATGTTGTCATAACCACCTTTGTTAGACGGAGTGCTTAGAGAAGGCAGGAGGATTCCTAGCAAATCCTCTATATAGGGCAAACTTTCCTATGCCCTTTATTTCAGCTCCAGTAGAACATGTTAATAAAATGACTCCGCCTACTGTGCTGATAAAGGGAAGATACCTGAGGTCAACTCCTATTCCACTAACGCATCAGTCACAGCACTTTCGGCAAAGTGTGCTGTGCTACCCTTCCCTTCCCATCTTCTGTGAAATGAGGGGCTTGCGATTCTCTCGGATGCCTCATAATAAGCTTCTCTAGATGATCCCTCTGCGAACACGCTGCTGGTGGAAGGATGGTGCTCTGCTTGCGAGGCTGGAGCTGAGGCTGCAGACTGCATTCTGCTTTACCAGCTCCTTCCTGTCTGTCAGGCTCTGCCCTGGGGGCGCCTAGAGAGGAGACACAAGTCAGTATGAGGCCTTTTCCCCTCTCCACCCGTCACACGGCAAGAAGGCTCCTGACCACAGCTGCTGAGACCCAAAATCCACCTAATTTCTAGACCTCACACTCCACACACTTACTTAGTCATATTTTGTGCACAGAGGTGGTGCCTCTGGCCACACACTGAATGTTTCTGGGAACAGGAATGAAGAGTGTCAGGTCTCTCACCCCCAGACGGGCAGAACTTAGAGTGGTGGCGTTCAATACAAGTCACTTCAGTCTTGTAGTCTCCATCTTCTCTGCTGGAAACTGAAGTTGGGGGGTGTTATGGGCTGAGTTGTGTCTCCCCAGAATTCACGTGTTGAAGTTCTAACACCTAGTGGCTCAGAATATGACTGCTTGAGGCATAGGGCCTTCAAAAGGTGATAAAGTGAGGTCATAAGGGTGGGCCCTGATCCAAGCTGACTGGTGTCCTTTAGGAAGAGGAGGTGAGCACACAGACACGCACAGAGAGACGACCATGTGAGGACACAGGGCGAAGACAGCCATCCACACCCCGAGGAGAGAGGCCTCAGAAGGACCCAACCCTGCTAACACCTTGATCTCAGACTTCCAGCCTCCAGGACTGGGAGACGATAAACTCCTTTTGTTTAAACTGCCTGTCTGTGGTGCTTTGTTAAGGCAGCCCGAGCACACTAACACAGGAATTTATCCCACCGGCGAGGGTGGCAGGTCAGATGCCACAAGCTGCCTTCCCGACATGCCACAAGCCGGAGTTTCCGTGCGAGCGGAAGGAAAGGCGGTCTGCTCCACAAAGGCAGACAACCGAGAGCCTACTGTCAGCACGAGACAGGCTACCTGCCGCCCACAGCAGGTGTGCCTTGGTCCTGAACAGGCGCATTATTCGGGGGACAGAGGTCCTGGCCCCGGATTGGAGAAGGTGGGCTGGAGGGGGTGGGGGCAGAGGAGTGAGAGGGGCCGTCTCTCACCTGGCTTTTCTCCTCCTTCTCCCTGCTCCTCGAGGTGGGGGGTTTCCCCCTGGACACACAGTTCTTCGCACAGCCAGACTACAGGGCAGGCAGGACAGATAACAGACAACATGGACAGCTGCCCCCGCTGATCTGGCATCAGCAAGAACCACTCCATTAACAAATACATTCCTTTATTATTTTACAACAAAAGCGGCTGTCTTTTGGTGTCACCAAATATGGTCTTTTAGAATCTTTTTGACAATGTACAGTTTGCCCTATGAGCTTAAATTTCTTCCTCTATTTTAGGAGCAACCCAATGTTCTGATAAGGTCAAAGGGAGGAGGGATCTTGGGAAATAACTCAGCCGTGCAGGGTGAAGTTGCACAAGTGCAGCTGGAGAACGAGCCCGTCAGTTAAATCACAGCCGCATGTGAGGGGCCGAAAGTACCAGCCCAGCTGCTCTAGCCCTTTAGCTGTGGTTTTAAATAAGGCCAACAGGTGAACAGGAGAGATAAGTGGGCCAGTGGGTTCTTAGTGTCGCTAAAAATATGGTGAAAAACAGGAATTTAGAGATGATTCTGTGTGTGTGTGTGTGATTTACAGAAAATGTACATGGCTGCAAAATTTACCAGCCAGCTAGAGGGCTCCAGGCTGTGTGAGTCTAAAACCAACCAAGAAGCAGAAGATGCAGCAGCTCTCTGTACAGCAGCAGCTTCAGCACCTGCAGGCTGGTCTCTAATTCTGCTCACTAGTGCGTCCCTCTCTCTCTCTCTCCTGGATTTTCCTATGCTCCTCCGCTTGGCTGTTCATCCCTTCAAGCGCCGATGTTTTACCCGCAGAAGCTTTAGATCTGTTATAATACCTGGTGGGTATTGCAGTATTGTTTATCGTCACGGCTTCCCTAATCTTGTTAAATGCTATTTTCCAGCTGAACTTTACGATCAACTTGTCTGGCTCCAGATAAAACGTTGTTGGCCTTTTTATTTGGATTGTGTTAAATGCCTAAATTAACTTAAAGACAGTCGTCTTTATGATGCTGAGTCATCCTATCCAAGAACAAGGGATGTCTTTTATTAGATTTTAATATATTCATTCCTTACCACTCCTTAACCCAGCCCGCCTTGTCTCCCACCTCTGCAAAATGAGTCAGGTACCGAAACCTTCGGGCAGGCTCTGCACGTGGATTTTGACCTCTGGACCGAGCATTCCGTCTACAGTGCTGTGCAAATCCTCCGATGAGCATTTCCCTCCTGGACGGATCTTCTTAATTAACACAGGTTTTCACCCCCTGCCTTAAATCTGTCCTAGCAGAAGCAGAGGAATAAACCCAGAATCTAAAACTGAACGAACCTGAAGCCATCTTCGCTTTATTTAGTGCCCGAGAGACGATGGGGTCCCTGGTCCTGGGCAGCAAAGTAGGAATTAAAAATCAAGCAGAGTTTTCTTTTCTACAACTAGCACTTTCCTGATTAATTTGGTGTCCTTGTGACTTCGTCTTAGTGCTTTAAGGAGTATCATGCAAATGCCAGTCAGCCCAGCTTTCCCAGGGTGACCACAGTGTAAGACAGACGCCTGGCTCTCAAAGGGCTTCTTGCCCCAAACACCACTGTAGAAACTGCTAGCTTTGCCCTAAAAGATATAGACACAAATTCTATTGGGCGAATGAAATATCTTTTCCCGTCTAGGAATATGTAGCTAACCCTTCTTTAGTTTGAGGACCAACGCATCAGTCCCCTTAGAAAAGAGTGTTCAGACAGTAAAGGCACCCACTTTAGTCAGTCTATTCTTGCTTATCAGTAGCATGAAAATAAACCATGTTCTTCACTTCCACTTCCATGATTTCCTGTGACCTGGATGTAGTTACAACCGAGGAAAGTTTGTTGCTCACGAAGTTGGGAGACAGGATCTCGTGAGCCCCAGGTTATTAAATGACATTGATTACACTTTAACACAGTTGGAGGAATTTTAGATCAGTTTAGAAACAGAACATACTGATGAAAATACTGTGGTTTTCACGCTTTAATATAAGTCAGGCAACTGCTCTCAGTGCTCAGGTTAAAGGCTGTCCTAAATCTAATAAATACTCCCATTGTCCCTTGTTTTGCTGAAACAGTCCCTCGTTGAGGGTCACATGAACACACTGGAGCCACTCAGAGCTCAGAAACATTTTCACTCCCGTGACCTGATTCACGCTGACCCCCTCATCGTGTGACTTTTTGTCTTTAACTGTCAGAGCTGATGCACCTGAAGCCACACTCAGTCCAGTCTGTTCATTGCAAGAGGGTAGGTGTCTGAGAAAAACCATGCTAAAGGTGCTGAAGGGGAAGATGATTTCCAAAGGGACAAGCTGTTAGGAATCATGGTTTTACTTTTCAGTAGACAGAAGGGAAGTTCTACCTCGGGGATCATGAGTCGCTGCAAGGATTGGTGTTAATAACATTAGAAATTCTCAAAGCGTTACTAAACTTCCCGTTCAGCGCAGTGAATCTCAGCTGGCTTTCACACTTGTTATAGTTATTTCTAGAGATCTTCCGGCGGGCAGGCAGGCTTGCAGAGGCAAAGGGAGCTGAGCCCGGGGAGCTGCGTGTGCTTGCGTCTGCTCCCTGCCGGCCTTTCTCTGCGCCTGTTCCTCTACTTGACTACAGACGAACGCCCTCCAGGCGAGAGCTGGTCAGGAAAAGGCTCCCGAACTCCCTCCTGGGAACGGGACGAGCGCAGAATTCCTAGTTTCATTAGTCCTCCCATCCTTGACGTTGTAAGGTGGTCAAGTCTCTCATTTCTATAAACCCAGTGACCTTCAGGCTCTGCCGAACCTTTAACTCGCCTTTCTGGAGTCTTGGCTAACGTCTTTTTTTCCCCTTACATTCTGATAATCCTTGCTTTTTTTTTTTACTGCAGTGTTATGCAGCCACACCCTCAGTGTTGGGGGGCGGGGGTGACTTTCCAAAACACTTGGAGGGCTTGTGAATCCTGAGCGCTGATTACTAAGCGGTAAATCCCTTTGAGGCAGAACTCGCCTCACTTCAGGTCTGAGCATTCAGTAACCGTCAGCGCTGACCAACCTGAGCAGCTGGTGCTA